TATAGCTGAGTGGCATACATCTTAATGGGGGATATCTAAGCATGAATGGCATCCTCTGGCTGGCTGTAACGTTAGCTAGTTCAGTGGTGCTTGGTGAGCTAGCAGTAGACATCTTTCTTTTTCCCTGTGATACTGTTTGCAGATGTAGTTGGGTAACTTAGTAGTAATATATATATGTGTGAGTGTGTGTTTGTGTTTATATAGCTGAGTGGCAGACACCTGTATGGCAGATATCTAAGCATTAAAGGCGTTCTCTGAGGCTGAGCTGTAATGCTACTAACGTTAGCTAGCTCATTGGTGCTAGGTGAGCTAGCAGTCGATGCACACTTCTTCCCTTTTCCCTGTGATACTGTTTGCAGATGTAGTTGGGTAGTAGTTTACATAAATATGTATGTGTGCGTATACATAAATACATATATGTAGCCGCGTGCTGTCTAGTGCCATTATATTCGAAAGTTGGCAGACATCTTTACGGCGGAAATCTGCAACACTCTGCAACTCGCACCCAAAACATTTAACACCACAGCTAAGAGGAAAATAGTTTATTATTATTATTATTATTATTATTTGGAGGTGAATTGTCCCTTTAAATGTAATTAACTTAAGGCTTCAGCATTAATCGATAAATCCAGGTTTATCATTTCCTCCAATGAAAGTGGAGGAGGATCTCTGGAAACCGTCTCTCCAGCAGAGATTGCCTCGTTACAAATGCTGTTCCAGTGGCTGGACCCTGTAGTACTGACTGTCAAAGTGCATGTCGCAAGGTTAAGAGATTAATACTGGCTGATTGTTCCTGAACAGGCGCCCGGCTCCCCGTCGAAACCAGTGGTGACCTTGACCAGCCTGAAGTGGACATGAAATGGCTTCCATCCATGACAACAGCAGGACCACAGAAGAACGACATATTTTAATATCACTACACTCAAAAATAAAATTTCCAACAATGCTGTGTCATGCCTTCAACATAAAACATAGCCTACAAACTTAAATCATTAGTTTTTGAGGCATCACACTAAGTTATTTTTTCTATAATGAATGTTGTCTAAAATAGTTCTGAGCGCTAAAAATTGTTTAGTGTTTCCACAGATGGTCGGAACCAAGTTGTTATGGTGTGAAATCTAAATTAAGACATAAATCCAATGCACATATTTCTGTCTCTGACTCCATACCACAGACTCTCCCAGAAGACTGTCAGTTATTTATTTCAACAAAGCTGTAATGTGAGATGCAATTTAATTGAACTCTTACGGATAAATGACCAAATTTGGTGCCAAGTCATAAAGTCAGTTAAACACAAGAATGTTTTTGTAATTTTTATTGTAGTCTGTGTTGAGAAAAATGCCTTTAAGGTGGTGGAGTGTGACCACTGAATATGTCTTACACCAGAACATGTTAATGATGAAGTGGAGCAGTCCCAGGGAGTTTCAACACAGCATGAAAATATAAAGCCGTAGTGAGAGAAATGCACAATAACTGCTGCATTATGTGTGTTTTTGCCACTAAGTGCCATTGCATGACCCAAATGGCTGCAATGCATCCAAATAATGGCAAGAAAATGAATGTGTCAGCCAGAGCTAACTTGCCATCTGCATGACTTTACTGTTTGCTGCATATTTAACCTCCAGATGGAGAAACTGATCAGGGAGATTGACTGCCTTTTTTTTAATGTATGAATACTTGCCTTTTTATCACAGTAAATAGTGTGGTCTTTTTTAAACAGCCTGAGGCTTACTTTAAAAAAAAAAGTACACTCAGTAGGTGAGGTTTCTGATATTTTGGTTTGTTTTGGCTATTGGTTTGATGAAACATAGCCTAGAGTCA